TCCTGGAACTGAGTTTATTAGGGAGATCCCCAAATAGTTCGACCAAGGGAGGTTTGATAACGCTAGATCGCGATAATTAAAATTTTTTGTTAAAGAACGAATGCTATATCTGGCGGCTGGTTGTAAAGCTGCTTGGATCAGAGCTTATTAGGGAGATCCAAAAATAGCTCGCCCAAGGGACGTTTGACAACGCTAGATTGCGATAATTTAATTTTTGTTAAAACAATTGAATGCTATACAGGACGACTGGCTGTAAACCTTCCTCGATCAAAGCTTACTAGCAAGATCCGCAAATAGTTCGATCAAGGGAGGTTTGACAACGCTAAATCGTGATAATTTAATTTAAAAGAAAAGAAAAATGAATTATTGGTTAGGGGGCGAGACGGAAACATTAACTTCTTATCGAAAGAAAGTTAAATTAAATGGAAAGGCCTACCTTAATTATTATTCGTAGAATACGAACAAGGAAAACGATAAACGGTTCACTAACTTTTTACTCGTCTAAGACGTGGGAATACCAGAACTAAGAAGACTAGAAATAAGGTTTCTGCCTCATTTTTATGCCCTTCTAGCAGAAAACTATTCAAGCGTATGATTTTGGAATGGGAGCAGCTACCACTAGTTTTCGGACTATTTAATGCTGATAGCAAAAAATGTCTTTTCACCACCTTGGCAAAGCCACCTAGATAACTTGCATGAAATTCGGTATTTTAATACAAACATGATACATATGAGAATGTTTTAAACTACGGGGCTCTCTCAGATGTTTAAAATTGGCAATTACCAGGGAATACAAAAAATACGGGGGATTTTTAAAACGTTTCTCGACGGAAATTAATTAAAATATACATTTTTGCAATTACTTCAAATTAAAATTTTAGTGGCTTTATCACAACACCCACAATGTTCCTTATAAGCTGTGAAAACCCCAAAGTTGGTTAACAGCATAACTAACAGTGACATTTTTACAACGTTACTATTAACGAAACTAAATGAAAAATATAAATTGTTAATATGGATATCCAGGTATTTTTTATAAAGGGCGAAAACCTTAAAGTTAATTATCAGTAATTAACACAACGAAATATTTATAAGACTAAAATTAGCGAAGCTAAAATAAAATTAAAATAAATCAACTAACACGGATATCTCCCGGTATTTCTAATAAACGGTGAAATGAATGAAATGAATAAAATATTCATAAAATTGAAATTAGCGAGCTAAAATAAAATAAATAAATAAGGATGTCCCCTGATAGTTCTAATAAGTGGTTATAATCTTAAAGTTGATTACCATTTTAATAACCACAATTAAACTTTCCTGGAAATAAAATAAACCAATAACTCAATAAATACTGAAATGCCCATGAAAAGAAATCAGTTTCCGAATTTCCTTGTTTCAATGGCTATTCAGACCAAAACTTGCTCTTATTGTAGGTAAATTACAGCGCGGGCTTTTTTGTCACCATCAAAACCTTTGATGTTAGCCCAGTGAATGTGTTCATATTTTCGTAAACATTAAATGGAATCGACGCTTTGTGTATTTTAATAATCGGTGTACGTTTAGAAGGTTATTGCTAGTAAAATGGTGATTACGACGACGGACAATAGAGCAATCTTGTTTCTTGGTCGATGGTCGTGCGTAAACTAAAGTTTTAACAAGGAGAAAAAATCTATTGACTTTTGACTAGTTGGGATAATAAGAAATGTTGAGAAATTTAGTCGTCAAAACAAGACTGCGAGATCACTAGCGCATTGTCTTGTTTACGAAATTTCAGAAATCTAAAATCGTTATTCTGTATAAAATTGGAAAATTAATTACCTCAGGTTATGAAATTGAAGCTACGGATTTGCAGAAAGTTAGTCTTTGAAACAAGACTGTGAGATCACGACTTGCCTTTGTAACGTGTTGTCTAGTTATTCTATCTACTTGTTTAATGTGTTTGAGCTCAATTGATAGGGCGTGGGCTAGGTTTATAAATAACTCGAATAACTTTGAAAAAGAAGTTGGGCACCACTATATTTAATGCTTACTACACTTGACTCTAGATAAGTGATAAAAATATAGAAAATCACTAACCACTAAAAAATAATATTTAAACCATGCTTTAGGTAGGGTAGCTATCAAATTCTAATTCATATGTTTTACTTAATTTAAATTTAAAACGATTTTTTGATTAAGCACTTATCTTTTGCTAAATTAGGTAATATACGAAATGTAAATCTAGGTTATCGCATGATATATCCTCAGGCAACTTCCACTAAGGGATTCGGGATTCTTATTCGCAATTCTGCACAATCATGCAACATGAATGATCGTGTGATATGTAATATTTAAACTTGACTCGAAACTGTCTAGAGATTGAACCTAAACGTCTTGAGATGAATCCAAAAAACGTCCAGAGATAAATCCAAATCTCGTATAAAGATGAATCAAAAACTGTCTTCAGATTAAACCAAAAAAACGTCTAGGTATAAATTCATAAAACGTCTAGAGATGAATCAAACAACTGTCTTCAGATTAAACCAAAACCTTCTGGATATAGCCATGTTGAAAAAGGGTTAAAATTATATAGGAAAAAGGGAATTTGAATAGGATTTAGATAACATGCTTTAACTATTAAATGAACAATTTAAAACTATTAAATAAATCATTTCACAGAGGCTAAAATTAATATGAAAAGGAAAAATCGTATTTAAAATATTTAAACATAGTAAAGCATAATATATTATTCCAAAAAAACAATATATTATAACTATTTATAAAATCAAAATGTGTCATTCATTGTTAAAGTTATATTTAAAACTTGACAATTTTTTTAAAAAATTCTTGTACAAAATATATATTTTTAACAATATATTATTCTAAAAATTTATCTTATAAAATCAGACGGCCAATAACATAAATAATTATCATCTAGATTAAAATAATTGTGATCTATTTGATATATTCAAAGGAAATTAAAAATATGAACTTCTGACACAAGGCATAAATGACAAATTACATTTGAGTAAGAGGTGGTTGTGTCGAAATAACGGTTCCAACCATTACATCTTTTCTACAAAACATCAGAAATTGCAAAACGGTGGTACACAATATACAGAAATAGAAAACATTAATTTTCTCGGGCTGTAAAATAATTTCATTACTAATATCCAACACGGCAGACGTAAACCAAAAGGACAATAAAATACATTTTAATCGAAAGTTAAATGATTGATTTCTTCTTTGGTTTTTCTACAGGTTGCCTCGGACGGTGGATTAAAAAATGACAGTATTAACGGTAAGCATGTTTCAATTCCATCATCTATTTCGGCACCATAGCCAAAATAAGAAGTTCTGATTGGTTGCATTATATCGGCTGAGTGGGTGCCGAGATCACTGTCGGAAATAACTGTGGAGTGCCGAGATCAAAGAAGGAACTAAAACCAGCTAAAAGTGCGATTTTCTATGGAAATAATGATCATACGCAATGTTTAATTAACACCATTTTATTAAGTGTTAGGAATAAGATACCTACATAAACAAATTAACAAGAACAAAAAATGAATATCTCGTAGAGCAACAGAAATCAATGCCCTATTGCGTTTGGGACATTATTGTCAACATTACTATGCAAATTTCTCGGTCGTTTGATATTTCTTCGTTCTGAAGAATCTTTCGAAGGCCGTCCACCTGTGAACTAAAGTCGTTCTTCAGCTTATTGTTTTAGGTTGTACTTTAATTGTGGCTCTGGATGTATGTCTTCTAGACAAATAACTACCAGCAGTAGCTAAGTAAGAATCCCAAGCCGTGCGAGTCGAAATTTTTTCAAGCGTTGCATGCACATATTTATTATCTTTGAAAATGTGCCATTCTATTTTTGAAGAATCGTTATTTTTTTTGAAGCTGACAGCAAATTTGTTTTTGGTCAATATCTATGCTTCTTTCGTTATTTGGTGCAGAATCCAAAGCTATTGTTGAAGGAATTTCTGTTACTCGTAATGTCGCATAGAATTAAATAGGCATAATATCAGTTAACACGGTCATACTTACCTTAACATAAGTATATTTTTCATGGTATCCTTGGTGGTTAATTTTATTTTAATGAGCATTTCTGCTGGACAATCACAATTTTTGGACCGCTCTCGTTTATTACGTTTAGGATCTAGTCTTTTTAAATTTGTATGATGGCATAGATAAACAATTCTGGAAAAAAACATACACACGTAATACTGTATTTTGGAAATAATAAAAAAGAAAAATCCCCAATACCCTAATTACCCATAGGAAATTATGAATTTGCCACCCTTATATACCCAAAGCGAAAATAAACAAAGGAAAAATTGAAAAAGGTGAAATAAAGAAAGGAAAAATGAGTGTATTGACCAGGGATCGAACCCGGAAACTCAGACTTGGACCGTATGCGCTCTACCAATTGAGCTATCAGCACTCGTTTTTCGGTTTATTTAATAATACATTTCTGTTGTTTTAAACCTATCTAGCGTCTTATTATTTAAAATGTCCAAATGAAAAGGATTTCTATCCGTATTATAACAAAATATTCGAATTTTTGGAAAAAATAAGATTTTTTTGTTCTGTTATTATCTCGGTTTTTCGTCTATGATTTTATACATATTTAACTATTTATTACTAAAATGAAAGAATTTATGTCCATATTATAAGAAGTGTTCGAATTTTAAGAAAAAATTATTTAGCGTTTATTTTAAACAACAGTTTATTTGTTATTCTGGAAAATATACATGAAATTGATAGAAACAGATGCAGAGAATGTCAGTTTACCAAGATTAATGTAATTAAATATTACCCAATTCTCATAGTGATTATTTAAAACTTACTGCTTACTTCTTTTGAAGCTGACAGCAAATTTGTATTTGGTTCAATATCTATGTTTCTTTCGTTATTTGGTGCAGAATCCAAAGCTGATGTTGATGGAATTTCTGTTGCTCGTAATGGCGCATAGAATTAAATAGGCATAATATCAGTTAAAATGCTTATACCTACCTTAACATAAGTATCTTTTTTCATGGTATCCTTGGTGGTTAATTTTATTTTAATGTGCATTTCTGCTGGACAATCACAATTTTTGGACCGCCCTCGTTTATAACGTTTAGGATCTACTCTATTAAAATTTGTATGATTCTGGAAAAAAGACATGCACACGTAATACTGTAATAATTACCCAATTTATTGTAATTATGTCTTTCCTAACTACAAATCTATCTACCAGAACGTCTTATTTTGGCTTTGGTGCCGAGACAGATAACGGAGTTGAAACATGCTAACGGTAACGGCTTAAATCAAATAAGTTCAAAAATGCGGCACTGCAAAAGAGAAAGAGTTCGCTGGAATCTCTGTCATATACCTTTTGATCAGACAGCAGACAAGCACTACTCACCTTGAACGGACCACGAATTTGTTCAGGGTTAATACAAGAATGTCACGAAGTTTTGGTCGAAGTATCCATCAACAATGTGGTAACCTTAAAATGGACCAAAGGTCACGCCACATCGAAAGGTAACCGTCTTGCTGATTCACTAGCCAAGAAAGCAGCCAACCAAATACCTTTTTGGACCTGGCCCTTTTATTGGCCTGACAAAATCTATAGTAACAAACCTAATTAAATAACATTCCCTTGTGAAATTCAAGCAAAGATGGGATGAAACAAAAAACTGCGGAGTTGCCAGGGAGCTCTTGAGTTATCCTGACAACACTGCAGCAAATAAATTCTTGACTATGACTAGACAGAATCTGCGCCTAGTCACAGGCTTCTGACGGAAGCATCTCCATATCATGGTGCAGTTAAAATCCGCACTCTGCAGAAGGTGCAAACAAGAAGATGAATCCATAGAGCATATCCTTTATGATTACTCGATGCACTTATTTATTAGAAGATGTGTTCGGCGGGAATCAGCTAATACCGCACCTCTTGGTGACGTTGTCAACTACGTTAAATATGTAGGCTGGCTTACGAGCTAGGAGGTGCCCATCATCTTAGGAGGATGCAGAATGGGCCAAGTGAGGTCTAAGTGCCGTGGGGGTAACCCATCCTCCACACTTTAGAGGTACCTTTTAATTGGACTGGTTTGCTTTACGAGAGGTTCAAACTTGGAGTAGCTCATGTTTACTTGTGTAGAGTACTACATAAACGTCCTCTTTGACATCAGCGAAAATTACCAGATAATTTACATGAACATGGGCGTTTAAAACTTGATCCGGATTTCGGTAAAGAATAATATATTTGAACTATGGGGATTTTCGCAAATATGTGAAAATGGGAAATTTTAAGAAATAAAGTTTACGGCTAATGTTTACAGACAGAAATTAACTTGAAATAAACATTCGTATGATGGAGCTACAGTCAAATCTAGTGACCTCATCACAAGGCTACTCTCATGGCTTCTCTTGATTTTAGTTATTACAGATATTTTCTTTTGTCTTAGCTTACATAACATTTCTTTCCAGGATGTTTTTAATAGCTAAGTTTAGTTGAATACTTGATTCTGAATAGACTTACCATTCATACTGAACAACTTCAACATATTTAGTCTCCGAAATATATTATATATATTTCAAAATATGATTTGAATAATTATTAACACATTTTGAAGAAAATATTCTATCAGCATATTTTATTATTGTCAAGTATTGCAGTAGTTTGCTACTTAAGTGTTTCCATATAGCAGTACTTTAATTAATTATAAACAATCAAAAAATTATTAGTTTCCAAAGTTAAATGTTCTAGTTTAGTAGGTAAACAATATTTTTTTTTTTGAAAACACTAATTGTCATAAATTCATTATCTGCAACCGTAGGTTGTTTAAAGCATATAATGTTTAATAAACGTTTGATAAACGACAAACAGTCAAACCCATTTTATTCTAACATACTACAAATACATATAAATATTACATTATACTGACACAGAATTTAAATAGATTATCATTCATTGTTACCAAACAACAATACACACAAATTTATTAACTAGTTTAATTACATATGTACAGTTCATGTCGCAAAATTAATTATTTTAAAAATAATTGTGCCATACAGGAAAATGTAGATGCAAATTCCGGTTCAATTTGAATACTTGTTATTTATTTATAGAGGTAACTAGATCCTAAATTGTTTTAACCAATGTGGATTATAGTTGCAGTGACTGGGATAAATAACAGAAATGAGGTAGAAGACTTCAGTTTCTAAGTATAGTATATCGGCAAAGGACCACGCACTTTTCTTATGCAAACGGGAGTACCATCAAAATGTTTGAATTTTTTATATGTTAAATTACTTGATGTCCCCATCAAAAGTATCCATGGGCCCAATCGTATCCTATGACTAGATTTTGAGATACAGAGTGTTGAAGTTAGAAATCCTTAATTCTTTAAAATGGACACCATAAATCACCCTTAAATATATTTGGAAGTTATTTACTTATTCTGTATAGTCAAAATACATACTTAACTACTTTAATTAAAATATTGTCCCTTACAGGGTGATTAATGATTCGGCAGATCTTTTTTTGGTCAAAGTAGGTATTTCCACCGAACAAAAATAGCTGAAATACCGAAAAAAAAATATATCACCTCAAAGTTTCTCGATATTTGAAATTGTATAGTACTCGATGTACTCGTTTAAAATTATTATTGGTAAAATTACATCCTATGGCTAGTTTTCCAAATATAACCTAATATGTACCAAATATATGAATTTTAAACAAAAAAAAAAATATACTGACATAAGTAGATATGTTTCAGAGATATACTGTATATTAGATAATTTAACACACTGTATTGAATTATAAATATACCCCTTGTACTATTTGAGGGCAGCCAAAATTATTTCCTAGGTACAGGGTGATTGCGGTTGAACGTGTAAGGTGAAAAAAATCAACAAAATGTAGAAATTTTTGGCAAAAAATAGAAAATAATTGCCTTTTAACTTGGGAGTTGTGTATCACAAAAATCTTATTAGTTCACATACAGAGTCATACATTATTTCATTAAAAAAAAAAGTTCGTTATACGGTAGGTCTAAGTAGGATTTAGGGAAATGAATAATGATCGGATTACATGTTCATTTTGACTGGAGTATTGGCTCTTTATATTGCCTCTTTATGTATATTTATATCAGATTGGGAACGGATCTGACAATCCATGTCTTAGTTTAACAAGGAAAGCAAGTAAAGCTTTTCGAGCAATGCTTCTTAAGTTACCATAATATTGTTCTATTGGTTCACAAAATATAACAAGTATACCAAATAAATTAACTTAAAGAATTTTAAACAATAAATATATACTGACATAAGTAGATATTTTCAAAAGAAATATCCTATATTAAATATTTTGACACACTATGTTTAGATTAGGAATATAACCCTTGTATTATTTGGAAACAAACAGTACTTCCAGGGTGATTGCGGTTGAATATGTAAAATAAATAAGTCAACAAAATGTTGAAATTGTTGCCAAAAAATAGAAAATAATTACCTTGTGAGTTGTTCATAAAAAAAATATTATAAGTCCACATACAGGGTCATACTTTATTCAGGTACAAAGAAGTTGATTATACGGTAGGACTAAGTAGGATGTAGAAAAATTATGATCGGATTACGGGTTTATTTGGCTCGAGTATTGTCGTAAGTGCCTATTTGTATTGTATATTTAAATAAGATTATATTAGCTCCATTCCAAGTGACCAATGAGGTAAAGCCCATAGATATATAACCAAGACAGATAGGATTATTTACAAAATTTTTGAAGAATGAACGGTGTTGTCCGCGGTAGAAACCCAATAATCGAATTGAACATTGATGCCAAGTTTACGTGCTTTTAACTATAGATATATATAATCAAGACAGATTACACAATTTCTGAAGTCAACGCAGATGATCCTCGACAGAAATGCAATATTTGGATAAAATTAAAATATTGATGCCAAGTTTGCGATGTTTTTAACTGTAGTAATGTTATTGCGTTTGCTTGAAATACTGTTAGGTCTTTAAATTGTCCAAAAAAAAAATAACGTCTGACAACAGCGGAACTAGAGTAGACCGCAATTGTGGAGGGTCGTATATTGTTTCATTCATAAAATTCCTTCGATACAGTACTAGTCCAGGAGCCAGTGAATTTTTTTCGTACTTGTTTTCCCGGTCAGTGTATATTTAAATAATCTATTCCCAGTGAACTGTATATTTAAAATGGAACGCCAATCTATTAACAAAAGTAAGCCAGATTGAATTCGCGCATTACGTCACATCGATACAAGTGAGATTATTTACAAAGTGCCTTTGCAGGCCTATTTTGCCTATTTCATGTATTTGTTTTTAAATCATGTTAAATTACTATTTTTGAAACTCAACAAGGAGAAAATCCAATTAACTCTTCCGTTGTGTATATATAGGTATAAGACAAATTAACTGAAGTTTTATTAGTAAAGTATTAACACTAAAATTTTCCATAAAAATGACCCCATCTCATGCAACTTATTTTCACTGATTTAAGTTATCGAGTCAGGTTTTATTTTTGTTTTAATAAATTAAAAGTATTCTTTATCGTTAACAACAATTTAATAGATGCGAAATACGTTTTTTACATTTTTAATGTAATTTACATAAAATAGCTAGGTATGTATGTGTTTTTAAATAATTTGATAATTTATGAAAAAAGGAAGTAAAAGTGGAATGACCAGTGGCCAGTAGGTCAGTCAATACAATGTATCATATATTTCTATTATAACATAACTAAAATACCTACATCTTTTAATCATAAGGGTACAAGTTAAAAACCATTTTAATATATGCATTAGAATGAAGTAATAATAACTTAAAGAGACGAGGTCTTAAAGTAATAGCTGGTACAGCATGTTTTTTAAACGTTTCTTCATTACTGCTAGAATGAAATCACTTACTATGAAATGTGCTTTAAAACCGGCATTTAAAGCAGTCAGTGTTTCAGTCTTAGGATCTCTTCCTAAAGCCCTCATCCAAGATGCATACATATTAAAAAATAATTTAAAAAAAACATATTAGATACCTATATAGTTTTAGGTTCTGGGTGCCCTAAAAGAGGACACTTAGCCGACAATTTGGCTCAGATAGCTAAAACTCAAAAGTCACACCCCGAACCAGGACGTATTGCTATCCTTTTAAGTAAAAAATAACTACAAATAACTTACCTGAAAAATGAAGGCGTCTAACTTTACACCAAAAAAACCATATACTTTTTCCCATTGTTGTAAGCACCCGATGACGATTAGGTAGATATCAACTAGAAGCATGTACTTAATGGTTATAAAGCTTATTTTAACACAAAAGGAATAAAGCACTAGTCGAAAAGCAGCAATCAAATATAAATAGACCACAATATTAAAAGTCAAATTAAAAACTATATAAAAGTCAAATACTCTAAAAGCGCAAAAGATCAGAACCAAATAAAATAAATAACCATAATAACCTAAAAATCACAATAAAATTGCAAAAACTATTACTGTAAAATTATGAGATTACATCAATATTGCATATGCGTCGGAGTATCGCAAATGTCAAAAGTACAGTGTTTTCATAAAAATTTAGCTATGTTTTTAGCAGTATTATAGAACCATTTCCACCACGCGCATCCAACTATATTGGCATTTCACAGTTCACTATATTTTCCTCACACCTCTAATATAAATGATTTGACATAACGAAACTAACAATAATTATAATTAATGTAGAGTAATAAGTGTTTCGTGAATTCTAAATAAAACAATTATTAAATAAAAGTGTAAAATGAAATGTAATTTATTTCCCTATTTTCTTCTGTAATATCTTTAATTATGTTTAATTTCGTTAAATAAACCAACTGGTTAGGTGAAACATTGTGATATATGATTTTATTTATGTGTCCTATGCGTACACTTTAATATACAAAACACCTGGAACATTCTTTAAATAATTGTGGTCGTAGAAATAATTGTGTACATAACTCGTTTGAAAGTGTATTTTATTCCAAATATATTATCCATACAGATTAATCAGACTATTTTTTTACTTAACTTCAGTACATCTCTTACTACTAAAACTATTTTTATCAATGGAAAAAAAGGGCCGTGTTCTCGTATGTTTTGACGCATTTTCGGCCTCTAAATATATATGAATTTTGCTTAGAATTGCTAATCCTACAATTCTCTATTCGTGCTTGCTGACTGGGAAAATAAATACCGAAAATCGTCACTGTCTCCTGGACTATACAATAGATGATGATGAGGACTTCACAACAAATACACTTTTATGAATGACTAGTTGGGGATGTGGTAAAGCCCCCAATACGTTTGTTTTAAGTCGCATCCCTTAAAAGATGGTTACAGTTGAACTTGCAAGGTGAAAAAATCAACAATTATAAAATTATTGCCAAATATTAGAAAATAAATTGCTTGTGAGTTCTTTATTGAAAAAAGATTATAAATATACATACATTAATATTTTAAATAGGCAATAACAAACTTTGTCAAATTGACATAGTTTTTTTAATAACAAGAA